GATGTCGGTGTTGTGAGTAGATATCTAGCTAATCCGAGAAAACAACATTAGGAAGCAGTCAAATGGATACTTCGATACCTGAAGGGTAGTTCGAAACTATGTTTATGCTACGGGGGAGCAAAGCTAATCGTGGAAGGTTATACAGATGCTGATATGGCAGGAGATCTTGATAGTAGGAAATCTACATCAAGTTACATTTTTACTTTGGCGGGGGGAGCTATCTCGTGGCAATCCAAGCTACAGAAGTGTGTCGCACTGTCAAAAACAGAAGCCGAGTATATTGTTGCCGTTGAAGCTGGGAAGGAGCTTATATGGATGAAACGGCTTCTTCAAGAATTAGGCTTTCCACAAGAAGAGTACATCATTCATTGTGATAGTCAGAGTGTTATGCACATGAGTAAGAACTCGATGTACCATTCCCGCACAAAACATATTGATATACGTTATCACTGGCTTAGAGAAGCAATTGAGGGACGAGAATTAAAGTTGTTAAAGATCAACACCAACAACAATCCTGCAGACATGCTAACAAAGGTGGTGACACAAGAGAAACACAAACTATGTGCTGGCATAGTTAGGATGAGGATTGTTGGACGGAGACTGGAGGGGGATATTTGTTGTGTTCCAACCTCTAAAACCTCCAAAGCTACAGTAGCCACCATTGTTGACAAAATGAAACCTACGGGACAAGTTTTTCTTCCCACCCTATGGTGAACACAATTAATGAAGGCAACTACAATGGTGGCTGCCAAGACTATAAATAGAGACTTCATTCTTCAGTTGTATGCATCCCAAACACAGAGAAAGATATAGTATAGCACTTAGTGAGAGAGTGTTAGTGAGAGGGTTGGTTTTTTGTAATAGTTGAGTGTGAGAGTTGCTCCTCCTATTGTAATTCTATTTTAGTGTTTAATAGAAGAGTTTTCCAACCCCAACAGATAACAGATTGTGGTTGTTATTAAGGTACAATGTTACTCATATAAAACTAAAATCCTCCTGTATCTACACAACAATGGAACATGCCTTAGATTAGATTATATCTCAAACCAATAGCTAGTTGTAGACTACTACACTATTATTTCTAATTTGGCACAAAAAAAATGCAAAGAATAATTACAGAGTGCAATTTTAGTTCAGACTTTTAGGGCCTTATAGCAGAAAAAAAAATGTGTAGTGGCAGTGTCGGCAAGATAGTGAGGCGATGCTAGTCGTCGTTCACAGAGGTGGGTTGCAGGTGGGACCGATAGTGGGAGAGAGAAGGTAGGATGTGTCGACCACTTTGGAGTAGCTGGAGGGCTTTGCTGCCGGGGGTGACGGCAGAGGTGATGTTGGAGGTGACCTCTTTGGCGGAGGCAGTGGCCGCTTGCAGATCGGAGATGCGGTGGGAGGAGCAAGAGAATCGAGTGAATTAGAAAGAGAAAGCGTAAGAGAATGTAGGAGTAGGGCAAAATCTATGTGTTCTTTCTCTCAGTAACATTCAAGTATATTTACCAAATTGCCCCAGCTATTTAAAAAAATGGAATTTCACTAACGGATTATCGACGGAAATTCAAATTAGTTGATTTCCACCGGTAAACCATCATAATGTTGTAACGGACTACTGGCCAATTTTATTCTGTTGCGAAACCGTCACAAAAACGTCGCTAATATCATAATAATTTGTCCTGTTGCTTTTTTCCGACGGAATTTTCCTCGCTAAAATTCTGTCGCTGTTGCTTTATTTTCTAGTAGTGAGCCACTCTCAACTCCCAATTCAAATCTCAAAGTTTTTGCAGATCTCTTTACAGTTTAGAACTTTAGATTATCGTATTTGAACTACTATGATATGATTTTATTTTCATTTAAATATTAAATAGAAGACAATGATGCTTTTGTCATTTTTAGTGATTTTGGCAGGATTATAAGAGCCATTATATAGGTCGATGCTCACTTGTTTTTAATATATCTATAGTTGAGTTGTGATGCTTGATTAAAAACTCTAGCAAACATTATCCCTAAAGTTAAAACTAGTTTCGAACATCAAGAGCAGCAGATACACTTGAATTCATTTTGAACCTTCCAAGAATCTTTAGCCGAATAAGTTTCTCAAAACAACAAAAATACAATTCTTTTCCTATAGCTTTAAATACTATAAACAAATATTGAACTCATAAGAAAACCCTCCAGTCGTTATTTTCAATGGTGTCCAATTCTATATATAGCAAACAATTTTACCTACTCGAAACAAACATCAAGTTCTTTGTCATGGATTTTCAGTTTCTTGGAACAATACTGTTTTTTGTCTTTCTATTGCAATCTTGCAATGGAGAGCTTATAAAAACATTGCCAGGGCAACCGACGAATGTCTCTTTTCAACAACATTCAGGTTATATTGTCACAAATGAAGGACATGGGCGTTCACTTTTCTATTACTTTGTTGAGGCAGATTCAGTTAACCATTCTTCGCTTCCCTTAACCCTATGGCTCAATGGAGGTTTCACTTCTCTTTTTTCTTATGAAGTTACTTATACAAAATTACAAATATATATATATATATATATATATATATATATATATATATATATATATATATATATATATATATATATATATATATATTGATATTCAAACTACAAAACTTTCCTAATTATGTTATATGATTTGTATAAACTCAATTGAGTGAGTGTAAATAAAATCTGATTTGATTGGGCTTGGGATTGCCATTTGATGAGTTGACTCGTCTTGTGTATGTCTACATATAATACATACACATATTATATATGTGATTTTTTTTTTGTTGTTGTAAAGGTTTTATTTATAATTAATTATTTATAATTTAGGTCCTGGATGTTCTTCCGTTGGTTTTGGGGCATTCATGGAAAATGGACCATTTCAAGTTGGTGAAAATGGAGAACTTGTCAAGAATCAATACTCTTGGAATTTAGGTAAATTTTATATATATAAAAAACATATATGGTTTACTACTTCAGGGATTTAATTTCTTATATAATTTTGCGTTACAGAATCCAACATGTTATACGTTGAATCACCAATTGGGGTTGGTTTTTCTTACTCGGAAACCGATGAAGATTATATTGATTGGAATGACACCAATACAGGTTTGCATCACAATGTTTATGAAGCTCTAAACATATTTAATTTGCATTTATTCTATTTTTCATCATTTACAATATTTTTTTAAATCAATCCAAAAATATCTTTCGATTTCTGTATTACTATTAGAAATGTATCATTTTCTATGTTTAACAAGAAAAAGTTATCTTATATTTGACTACTTTTACTTTAAATGATGACAGCTTATGATAATCTTGTATTTATCACAAAATGGCTTGAAAAGTTTCCGTTGTACAAAGACTCGGAATTCTTTTTGGTCGGGGAAAGCTATGCAGGTAAGTTGACAATAACTTAATTCAAAAAAAATAAAAAAATAAAAAAATAAAAAAAAATCCAAATTTAATTCCTTAAAATATGTATGTCTGTTATTTTAATTTATAAAAATATTTTTTTGATTGTAGGCCATTATATTCCACAAGTAGCAGAATTAATCTTGAACTATAACAAGAGTCCAGGCATTGCTCCAATCAACCTCAAAGCAATTGCTGTAAAGAAATTCAAGATTAATCGTTTTTCGTCTTTTTTATTATAATTAGCTTTTGTAACATTTGTTATGTTTTTTTGGTAGATTGGAAATCCTCTATTAGACATAGACATTAGTGTTCTTGCGGGAGAATATTTATGGTCACATGGTGCAATTTCAGACAAAACTTTAATGCTAGAAAAAACCGTATGCAACGATTCAAAGTATCTTCGAGAGTACATCCATTCAGGATGGTCTCAAGGTTGTAATGATGTTTTCAATCGCGTTGATAATGAAGTCAGTGAAGATGTTGCTTTTGATGATCTGCTTTTGCCCAAATGTTTATCAACACCGTCAGCTCAGCAATTTAAACCCCGAGGGTTACACGCAAAGGCACATTCATCGGTATAAAATACAGGATTGTACACAGATCGGACTGGACCAGACCAGACCAGACCAGACTGGTTCACTCTGCTGGTCCACGGTCCAAGTGTGCAACTTTACCGCATACTTTCATTTGAACCCATATTTGTGCTCAAATTCTTCTTTTTGGTTTTATCAAATTAAAATTTTTGTTTATGGCAGATTGACAGAGTCAGAAGTACAGGTGATCCGTGTTTGCAATCAAGGATTTTAACGTATTTAAATAGACGCGACGTGCAAAAGGCACTTTATGCTAACACGACTAATCTTCCAGGGCATTGGGACTTTTGTCTAGGGTTTGCTACCTTTCTCTTACTTTTTTTTTTTTCCTTTTTTGTTATGGAAAAATATAGATGTTTTCATATGTGACGGATGTTTTTTAGATATGAATTTACGTTTTGATATAAAATGTTGTAGGCCGCTAGTTTATCAAGAAGAGAATCTTGAAATAAACATAATTCCACTCGTCTCCGACCTCATAAAGGCTGGTCTTCCCATCTTTCTTTACAGGTACACTAATGGCTATTTGACAGCTTTTGATTGATTCAGATGCCTGAATGATTCAGAAGCTTCGACTCTTTATGCAAGTATACTACTAAGACAAATTTATGTCCTTGTACAGTGGGGATCAAGATTCAAAAATCCCGCTTACACAAACAAGGATCATTGCTAATAACATCGCAAAAGGACTTAAGCTCACAACACTCTCAAAATACAGGACTTGGTACAATGAGAAACAAGTAAGCATAACGATTTTGATTTTGATGGAATTATATTGCACAACCGATTAACATAAACATATCTTCTATTTCTCCACTTAGAAAAATTGATTTATCTATAGAAAATATATGATTCACTAACAATATGTATATGATTTTGTAGGTGGGAGGTTGGTCGCAGTCTTTTGGGGGACTAAAAGACGGAAAAAACATTACGTATTTAACATATGCAACAGTACGAGGAGCAGCCCATGAAGTTCCATTCACATCACCATCACAAGCTCTCACACTGTTTCATAGTTTCCTTAATGGATCCCCTCTCCCTCGTCCTAAATCCTAAAATATACACTACATTTTAAAATTTGTAGTGCATTCAATAACAATAAAATAAAAAAAATATAATAATAAGCTAATACACTATATGGTTCTAAAAGACACGATGACAATAATCAAATACGTTGACATTTGTACGTTGCAAGTCTTTTCAAAGACATATGTATGAATATTCTACAATGAATAACAAAGGGAAAAAATATCTTTTCAATGTAGATAGATATCCATGACTTGATTAGTTAGTTACCCGATACACTACCAAAAATATCCCTATCTCGATCGTCTCTATAATATTGAAGGGCAAAAATGTCTTTTTTTCAATGTAGATATCCATGATTGGTTGGTTACCTTTAGACTACCAAAAATACCCTTTCCCGACAATGAGCCAAAAGACTAGCACGTGCACTTATCTCCTTTAATATTCGGCCTTGGAATTTATTTTATTTTTATTTGTAAATTTGGGCTCTTGAGGATTTTTTTTTGTAAAAGTTAGCCTACTTTCAGTATTGCGTGAAAAGCCTCTTGAGGGATATCGACTGACCCAACACGCTTCATTCTCTTCTTTCCTTCTTTTTGTTTCTCCAACAATTTCTTCTTCCTTGTCACATCTCCAACATAACACTTTGCAAGAACGTTCTTTCTCAAAGCCGAAATCCTAAAAGAAGGGCAAAACGGTCAAATATCACTGCCAACAAAATCTACCAAAATGGGACAAAACAATAAAAAGGTCGTACTATGCATGGAACATAAATTTGCTTTCCTTCCGTCTCTGTGCAAAAGACGTAAATACCCTCCTTATAGAGTAATTTGCAAGTTTGTGGAACGAGGCTGACACCAACCAGTAGGACAAAAACTGCAATTTCTCATCCCACCCAAGAAGGTATAACATGGACACGTCTTTGTTCTCTCTTATGTGCAAAAGACATGAATACCCTCCTCGTTTGTGCAAAAGACGTAAATACCCTCCTCTTAGTTTAAGTTGCAAGAGACTAAGTCAATGGGAAATGAAAAGAATTGCAAATTTGTGTCCCACCAAAGTAGATAGAACACGGTGGAATAGGGACGGACTCGCTTTTGTTCTCTCACATGTGCAAAAGACGTAAATGCCCTTGTAGGTTTGTGGAATGAGAGGGGGTGTTACTTACGTTTCCCTAGCAATGACCTTTGATCCAACAGCAGCTTGTATTGTGATCTCGAACATTTGTCTGTTTGAATGCAAGAAATGTTAAAGAGGGTTGATTATTAAATAAAAGAATAAAAGCAAATAAAAAATAAAAAGTGGTTGAGAAAAGTTGGCAAACCTATCGATAAATTTCTTGAGTTTGTCTACAAGTTCACGACCAACACGTTGTGCTTTCAAACTATGAACAATAGTTGCCATTGCATCAACAGGTTGTCCATTCAAAAGAACATCAAGTTTCACCACATCAGAAGCCACATACCTGTAAAGGTACAAGGGTAAAATGGTCATTTACTCTGGTAATGTACTAAGGCAGGGGCAAAAAATGGTCATTGTCATGAATTTAACGAGGTGGATCTTAATTTGCATGCCCCAGGAAAGAAAAATGTTAAGAATCACTAGAGTAGGGATGAAAAATGCAAAAAAGTTTCTTCTTTGGACCATATCCTGAAAAAATGATATAACACAGGGACCAAAACTGTAATTTGTACTTACTCTGAATCTTCATAATCGAATGAAGCATAACCAGATGTAATACTTTTTAGTTCATTGTAGAAGTCAACAACAATTTCCCTTAGGGGTAACCTGTACTTCATAAATGCCCTTTGACTGTATATAAGCCAAGCAAACAACAAGTTTTAATACTCAAAAGAAGGGCAAAATGGTAATATTTGAAAACTTTCATTTACTTGGCGTGCACACATCATCAACTTACCTATCGATAAATGAATACTCTAATTGTTCCCCTCTTCTTTCAGAGCAAAGAGTAATAACAGCTCCCACATACCTTCAATAAAATAAAATGTTGTATGAATAAATATGATGTTTAATAAAAATATATTTGAGAAAATAACCAAATATTTGGGTAAATGGAAGGAAAAATCAATTGAGGGCAAATTTGTAGAAAGTTTCATTTCCCTGAGTGACCTTCTGCATTTCGTCAAAAAGAAGAAACCAAGAAACTACAATTTTAATAATAGGGTTTTAGAAAAGGGTATTTCAGTCATTTATACAATTTACCATTTGGGAATAAATAAATAAAAAAAAATTAGGGATTTTGAGAGCTTACTCACTGGGGATAATAATAGTTGCCAATACTGTAGGTTCCCAAGAAGCAACCACTCGGATTTTAGGGTTTGCAGTGAAAGCACCTGGATTTTGAACCTCTACTTTGCTGAAATTAATTAATTAATTAATTAAAAATAAAAAAAAACATTTGACAAAAAAGCTACTAGAGTGTAGTCATATAGGTCAAAAAGTCAAACCTCCCGTCTGAATACTCAAAGATATATGGTACAGTTGGAACAGTGGAAATAATATGAGTTCCATATTCCTGTCATTTACAACACAAATATGTATATAACATTTTCAAAATAAAATTTTATACAAGTTAAATTTCCATCAAGCGTTTGATGAGTAAATAAAGTCTTATTTCATTTTTTTAAAAGGGTAAGTTACAGAAAAAGCCATTACATTATCAGCATTTTACCTGAAAAGCCATTATGAATTTTTTTTACATAAAAGTAAGTTTATAAAAGAAATTTTCCATTTCAGACAGGATTGACCTAAAAAAAAACGGTTAAGAGATTTGATTTGCTTACATGGACAAGTTTTAATGATGTGGCAATAGAAAGGTCCATATAAGAGTGTTAAAGTGTCAAACAGGTGTCCATTAGTATATGCTTATGTGGACATTTCCCTTGCCACATCAGATGTCACCTTATTAAAATTTGTCCATGTAAGTCAATTAAACATGGTAACCAATTTTGGTAGGTCAATAATGGCTGAAATGAAGAAAAAAAAATCATAATGGTGTTTTAGGTAAAAGGTTGATAAAAGTAATGGCTTTTATGTAATTTTCCCTTTTTAAAAGCCCAAAAAAGAAGAAAGAAAACCTGCTCAAGCCGTTGATGGAAAACATCCATGTGGAGTAATCCTAAGAACCCACACCTACAAATAACATTCCACTTTTTTACCAATTTATGCAAAAATATTTCACTTTTTTAACCAATTCATGCAACAATGTTCCACTTTTTTATACTTTATACAAAATAAAACGACATTGTTTTGTTGCATAAATTGGGAAAAAGATGAAACTATATTGCATAAATGTGAATTTAAATCTACAAAAAAAAAAAAAAAAAAAAGAGAAAAAGAATTCACATACCTGAAACCTAATCCAAGTGCTGTACTACTCTCTCTAGCAACAGAGACACTTGCATCATTACATGTTAATCTCTCAATTGCATTATTCAAACCTTCAAAATCAGATCCATCAGCAGGATAAAGTCCAGAAAAAACCATATGTTTTGCAGCCTTGAACCCTAATCATTATACACATATCAAGAAACAACAATTAGGAATCTGAATGCTATGTTAATTTGTTTTTATAAAATTTTACATTTTAAGATAATTATTTAACCTGGTAGAGGCTCTACAATAGTTTTGTTATGAAACAATGTATCTCCAACACGCGCCTCCTTAGTTGACCTCATACCACTAACCATATACCCAACTTGACCAGTCAAAAGGAATCCAGTACTTCGAAGTTCTGGATGCATGATTCCAACATCCAAAACCTCATAAGATTGACCCGTTGCAGCTGATGTAATCTTTTCACCTTTACGCAAAGACCCATCAACAATCGCCACGTGACATATCACCCCCTTATACTCATCGTAATAAGAATCCAACAGAAACATACGAAGATTGGAATCACACATTCCGGGAGGAGGCGGAATCCGCTCTATTACGGCTGGAATCACGTGTTCAAGACCTTGACCGGTTTTAGCAGAGGTTAAAAGTACATCGCTTGGGTCAAGATCAAACATGGATTTCAACTGGGATTTGACTCGATCAGGGTCAGCTGTTGGCTGATCGATTTTGTTTATGATTGGTATTATTGAAAGGTTGGATTCAAATGCAAGGTAAAAGTTTGCAACTGTTTGAGCTTGAACACCTTGAGCTGCATCAACTACCAAAAGGGCACCCTGGCAAGCAGCTAAAGATCTTGATACTTCATAGCTGAAATCAACATGGCCTGGTGTGTCAACTAGGTTCAGTAAATAGCTTGTGGAGCTCTCCTTTGATTTGTAGTTGTAAAACATGGTGGCTGTTTGAGCTTTAACAGTGATTCCCCTTTCTTTCTCGACCTATTACAATCCAAACACCCCCTAAATGGGATTAATTTACAAACCCAATCAACCACAGCATCCAGAAAATCAGAAAATGAAGACGAGATAAAGTAATACGAAAAAATCCTGAAGCGAAAGCAATGATAATGGCATTGTGTACCTGTAGTTTATCAAGGTATTGGGCCCCAAGGCCTCTCTTAATAGTACCAGTAAGCTCAAGAAGTCGATCAGCCAGTGTAGATTTTCCATGATCAACATGAGCAATAATGGAGAAATTTCGAATTTTTTCGGTAGGATACTGGCTCAAATCTATGGCGTTGTTATCGTCCTTGCGGTTACTATTCCGTGAATTGGAGCAGAATCCGTGTTCATATGAGCTAGAATAAGGTAATCCTAACCTATAACAATGATGGTGATGATTGGGGCTGAGTCTGTATTTGCGATTGACTACTTGGATTGCTTTGGACGCTCTATTGAGATAACCCATTGAGTGTTTATGCATCAAAAACTAGGGTTTTGTATCGCCTGGAGATGGGAATCATTACTGACGGCTGATAGTGGTGTTTAATGGTTACCAGCTGCGTTTGCAGCTCGTCTTCCTCCTTTGTTATTCCTGTTTGCCCTAAATCATGACTCACATGTCCATTGCAAAACCCATTCCGAAGTTTACAAAGTTCTAGCATACGCACTGTTTTTTAAGTGGTGAAAAAAAAAGTATTAGAATAAATTATAAATAACATAAAATTTGAAAAATGTCAAAATGGTTTGAGTCATTTTTAATCTTTTAAAAATGCTTCAAACTTGGCCTTGGTTTAAAAAAATGGTAGAGATGGGTTTTTTTGTTTTAACATTTCGTTTAATTATTGTTGTTGTTTTTTTAAAATGGTCGATATATCTTCTTAAAATTTTAGATTTGATCTATATGTCTATTTAAAAAATAGCAAGTAGATCTTTTTTAACCACCACCACTATCGCTTTCCAAGATCGTAGCCTTTAATAACCATCGTCGTCTTCAATCATTGTTACTGTCAACATCATTGCCTATAAAATGCACCCGCACCATCTTCAAGCTTGAGGGAGTACCCTTGTCACCTCTCTCGCCAAAACCTTCACTAAGATATGGTACACCATTCCTTAAGAGTCGCTAAGCAAGTTGTCATGACTAGCTCGCCAAGGAAGCAGCGTGAAGAGAGATAAAGGTGTAAATTTGGGGTTGGTTGCTGCACTTTAATCACCTTTTGATCCTATTTTTTTTATTTAAAAAAACCTATTTTTAAAACATGTTAGGGGTATTACCACTCCCTATGAATTGCTAAGGAAAAAATATCAGTGAGATTGAAGGCAAAAAAATGATGTTGTAAGGTATTAGAAGTGTTACCACTCCTTCTAGCCTCAACAATCGATACAACCATCATCGCATTCATCCACCGCCTCCACCCATTTCCACCACCACCGTTGCATTCGACCTAAATTACCACCTTCGTTAATCGTTCATAAAAGGAATAAGAGGAAAAACTAAAAGGGTAAATTTGTCATTTCATATATATTTAACCCAACTTTACTAACGAAATTTAAAATTATTTATTAAAAAATAAATAAATAAATAAATAAAAACACCAAAACTTACAACTTTTCAAAACCACAAATACATATTTGAAGGGTTTTTAAAAGTTGATTGTTAGATTGTTGATTCATCGCCGCAAAATGATGGATATATATGGTCTGGAAAATTGGACCTGGTTGGCCGTTTTCAAACGAAAAGTGGTCAGGCTACCATCTTTTTAAGGCCTAAAAACCACTTGTAATCAAACCCGTGAAAACCCGACAATTCAACCAAAGACCAAGCCAAAATTAGTCTGATCAAAATGCAAAATGCTGGTTTTATTTATAAAAATATTATAAAATGTAGCACTCCATTCTTTTTATACAGCTCTCAAAAATCTCCGACTTTATTTTTTTGGGACCGATTAGAATGATCGGACTAGTTGAACCATCAAACTAGTAAAGTAACTAGTTTAGTGTCTGGTTGAATGTTCAAACCATTGGTTGGATCACTGTCAACAACATTATTCCATTTACACCTAATAGCACCAACACATATAGACTCATTGTAAGAACTTTTGTATTCCACATATCCATATGAACAGTATCGTAATAAATTATATAACTGGTTACTTTCAACATCAAATAACCCGTTTGGAAGTGATATTTTCACTTATCCATTTATTTAAGAAAAATATGATTTGACTTTTATATGTCGATTCTTTAGTTTGAAAGTGATATTTTCACTTATATTTGCATATAAGAAAAATGTGTTTTTGACTTTTATATGTCATAGATAAATGATTTTCACTTAAAATAAAATAAATTAAGCTTTTATTTAAGTGGACGAATACGATGTTAGATAAATAAATTTTGTGATTTCATATTTTTTGTAAGGGAAAATGACTTGTTAGGGTAATTATTTTTTCGTCTTGTTCACATGTAACTTCCGGTTCCCGGTACGTATTGTAACACCCCGAAATATCAAAAGTAGAGTTGAAGGGCTAAAAGTGTAAATCTTGAAGGGCAACTCGGCGAGTCCATGGATGGACTCGGCGAGTAGGGTCGTGACATTGGTCGCGTGTCAAGTGGACTACTCGGCGAGTCCAAAGATGGACTCGGCGAGTAGGTGCTGAGTGGAGAAAACCCTAATTCTCGGGGTTGAGCCCTATATAAAGAACTTAACATCCATTCCCCTAGCCTCTTTACTCATCCTCAAGTCCAGAAACCCTTAGTATTCATGTGTGTGTGGATCAAAGTGCATTTGGGAGCTTGAAGGGTATTTGTTGAAGAAATCTTGGGAGTTTGGAGGCTTGGAGCAAGGGGCTTTGTTTGGATTCGAAATTCATTGCAGTTGGCCGTTCTTTTGAGGTAATATCTTGTTCTTGTGATGTTACTCATATGGATTCATCATTTTGGGGTTTATGGGAGCTTATCTTGGTATGTTTTGGAGTTTGGAGGTTAGATCTGAGGTTGCTACCTCAGATCTGGAATGGGGAAGGTCTAGAGTGCATTAAAGTCCCTGTGTTTGAGTGCTTAGTGAAGCCATCATGTCCCAAACCCTAGCTCTAAAGTGTATAAGGCCTAGATCTCTTTGGATTCACGTAAAGTTTGCCACTTTACGTGATGGATGGGTTGTAGGAGGCTAGATCTATGTTTTGGATCAATTGCATGGCTTGGAACGCTTATGTATGGATTCAGACCGGTGGTACTCGGCGAGTCACAAGGGTGGACTCGACGAGTTGCTTGAAGATGAGCTGGAACTCGACGAGTGGGATGAACAACTCGGCGAGTAGGTTGAAGATAGCCTTAGACTCGGCGAGTCTGTTCTTGGACTCGGCGAGTCTTGTCGAAGAGTCCCAATATTTTTTGGTTGAGTCGAGAATCGGTGAGTCAAGGGATGACTCGGTGAGTTGGGTGCGAGTGGACTCGGAGTTGTTGGACTCGGAGAGTCTCGGTGTGACTCGGCGAGTCAGGTCGCGGATTGAGGGAAGTTCTGAGCTTGGGGACTCGGCGAGTCATCGGGTTGACTCGACGAGTAGAGTCAGTCAGGGGTTGACTTTGACCGTTGTCCAGAGTTGACTAGTTTGACTTTGTAGTGTTAGTCAGCCAGGATCAAGGTGGTATTAAGTAGAGATATGCTTGTGTTGTAGGAGGACGATAGCTCGGTAGATCGAGCGCTAGTGATTCCGAGATACGCGAGGTGAGTCTTCTCACTATACTTTACCTTGAGTATGTAACCAGAGTTATGTGACAGAGTATTTGTATGCTATGTATGTTATGTATTGTACTGCATTATTTCTATGTGATTTATGCTGTGCATGTTTACAGAGTTAGAACCTGAGGGTTCACAGAGTTGGGTGCACGGACCCATAGAGTTATAGCCTCGAGTGGCTAATATGTGTTATATGTGGTATTTTGGGGAACTCGCTAAGCTTTGTGCTTACAGTGTTTGATGTTAATTGTTTCAGGTACTAGTGACGACCGCGGGAAGGCGCCGGCTTGATCAGTACACACGCACGGAATTCATGATTTTGAGATCTTGGGATTTTGTATTACTTGGATTGAACGATTGAAAATGGTTGTTTTCTTAATATTAAATTAATTATGTTTTATAAAAATTTGAAAATTTTGTTTTGAAATTTACGGTGTTACAATTTGGTATCAGAGCCTTGGTTTGAGGGATTCGGATGCACCTTCGGGCGTATTTGGACTCAAACCGAGGATTTGAGAAATTTTCAAACGAAACTAAAATGTTCTAAAAAGAAAAAGAGGTTTTGGAACCAAGCAGAGTGGAAGGTGTGTACGGTCAGCCAGCGCCCGAACGGTGAATCCCCAAAATACCCTTACTTTGGTGTTATGAGATATTTATGATGCACTTTATGAGATATTATTGCATGCTAGGGACAGGCTAGGTATTCCATATCTTAGGACTAGAGTGGCCTGATTTGTGATGCCTTAGCCTAGGGATTGTTGTTTTATGCGATGTGCTTTTGAGTATGTGATGAGTGGGAATATTTAGTTGGAATCCTTGAGGGGATTCGAGTAGAAGAGTAATTTAAGGGAGATACCTAGATAAGTACCGTGGTACTTAGCAAGGGAGTAGTTAAAACCCGCGAGGGGAAGAGTTGCAGAGTTCGGTGGTACTTTCGGGGATGAGCTGAGCAAGCGGAGTTATCTCCCAGAGTGAGTTATATATATCCTTCGATGCTCGAATGCTGCTTGCTTCGTGCTTTGTGGAACTCTCGATGATGGGAGTCAGCTACCAAGCGAATATGACGATATTCAGGAGGTAGATGGCTGGCATCATTAGGAGCTCTTCAGCAGCTGATGGCAGAGAAGTGTGAGAATCTAGGAAGAGCCTAGAGAGTATCTGTAGCCAGATGAGTGCGCTGGCAAAGTAGAGAATTTCGTTGGAGAGCAAGCACGCGACGAAATTAGGGATCAAGAAGGTCGAGCAGCTACTTAGGAGCTCTGGGATAGTCCGTGTGGAAAGTATGGGTAGATGTGGCAGGTAGTATGGGCCCGTACTACTGAAAGCAGAGGACCCATACTTGATACAGGGGGTATTCTGAAGTTTCTAATGAGCAGATTGAGGAGTGATGTTATGGTTTGAGTACCATACATCGGAGCAGATGAAGGATTGATGCTATGGTTCAAGTACCATACATCGAAGCAGATTGAGGAGTGATGTTATGGTTCGAGTACCATACATCAGAGCAGATGAAGGATTGATGCTATGGTTCGAGTACCATACATCGAAGCAGATTGAGGAGTGATGTTATGGTTCGAGTACCATACATCGGAGCAGATGAAGGATTGATGTTATGGTTCGGGTACCATACACCAGAGAATATTGAGAAGAGATGTCATGGGATGGATACCATGGTTCGTAGTGAATGATGCTTATGGTTCTCCGGTTATCCGGTCTCGATTGATGAGGTAGAGATTGGATGCTATGGGTTTTAGGCCTGTGGGCCATGATTGAGTTCGAAGAGGCTTCCTTTGAGAGGGGGGTTGAGAGCTTTTCAGAGTATTTTGGTATCGAGTCAGAGGGAGGGGAAAATTTTGGTCTGAGTTGAGCAATCAATCGATAGAGGAGATGTCACCTTCTATGACCTGAGTGGTGTTATTTATGTTCGTGTGCGAAACATGAGAGGCATGATGTTTAAGTTTTGGGTTT